GAGATAAACCCTTACCTGTGGCTTCAGGGAAGGAAGCTATAGCACATAACCCTGATTCAATGGCAAGATAGCAGCCGAACAGCCAGTAGGCGCCCTGAGCAGTGGTAGCAGGGGCTCAGACTGAGATGGTGTTTTCCAGGCAGCACAGAGCCTTGCAACAGCTTCATTTCGTGATGGGTCTTGGCCTAAAACACAACTGAAGTGTCATAAGTCAGTTTTTAAGAGGGGTCTTCCTGCACACTGTCCCCATGTCTCTGCATTACCCCCTCTGCTAGCTAGCCTGTGGGTATGGGGAAAACAGGAATTAGCCGTATGGTAAAGAGGGCTCAGTGAAGTCAGAGGTGGAGAGCACAACAGGGTGAAACCCATACGGACTCACCAGAAGCACAGGAAGACATTTAGGAAATATGACCTAAACAAATGAATGAAATGAATGAATGAAGAAATAGGGTTAGTGTAGAAGGAAGACAATATGCAGAGGAATGCTATGGTCATCTACCACCTAAACCACTGTTATAAAAGGATGGTGACTTCCAAGTGCTTAGGGGCAGAACTTACAGAAGAGGAAAAGCACTGTGATGTTTACAAGGCTGGGAGTAAAGGGGATGGGGAATCTCCCTCCTTGGAGGGTTGCAAGGCTGGAAGCTGGACAAACCTCCAAGAGTGAGTGTCTTTGTCACAACCCTCCCCTCAGGGACTTGGGGGGGGTCTCTGTTGTGGTCATTGAACTTTGCCCCCTCCATGTCTGGAGCACTGGCTGTGCAGTACAACCCCATGGGTGTCCCTCGGGCTCAGTCTCTCCTGGAGCCCCAGAAGAGAGCTGCCAGGCCCCCTTGCTGCCTTTTTCCCATCCTCCAGTGCCCTGCCCTGCTGCAGCCCCAGCTGGCACCTACGACCTGGACCCAGCCCCTCCATCACCTCGGGACCAGGGAGGATCCCTGATGCCCCACTGATACTCCCCAATGCCCCCTGGTCCCCCCAGGGCCCCTTACAGCCCAGCCCCCATATAGTGTCCTCAGTCCTTCTGTCACCTCAGGGTGAGGCAGGTTCCCGGCAGTGACCAGTGGACACACTGCCCTCCACCACCCTCCCCAGCCCCTCCACTCCCTCAGGGCCCCCCAGTGCTCCAAGGGCAACCCCAGTGCTCCACAAACACCTCCTCAGTGCCCCATGGACACCCACCCGCAGCACCCCACGGACATCCTCCAGTGCCCCA